GTTTTCAAACAAAAACTCAAAAGAGAATGGACCCTATATTATGCATTTGGGTATCACGGGTTAGACATACGTAACTAACCAACAAAGACTGTGAGCAGAAACTGTACTTATAAGAGTACCAAAAGGTTTTCACACGCATGTGGTACATGTTAAAGTGTAGACCATGCGCAGACCAGATAGCAAAAACTTGCGCATGTGCAATGGAGTTATGTGTCATCTATGACGTTATACGTGAGGTCAGATAGGTCAGCGGTACCTGATATTATAGGAAAGACGGTGTGCGCAAGTAAATTAGTTGTGTAACAGAGTTGAAAGTGTGTAGACGATGGCAAAAACGACATCTTTATGATTTCGCTCATGGTCTGCGTCCGTGGACTTATGTGGCATGAAGTACGATCTTCGTCTCACAGCAAATGAGAAAGATTTAGAGTGTAATTTAGATTCGCTGGAAGAAATGATAGTGATAAAATCTGATTTGTTTGCGGGTTTTATAACGCCAGAACTTACTCAAGCTCAAAGAGAAGTGTTTGTAGCATTTCGAAAATACTTGCAACTTTTGAAAGCCAACGTAAAACCATCAACAATGATCAAAGAATTAGAAGGTGCACCAGACAAAGCACTTGGCATGTTAGAAGAGTTAACTATCGTGGATCAAAAGGCTACCTCTTACGATTTAGAAAAGTTAGACGCAAGAACTTTGCATTCCATCGCATCAACGGTGGACTTACGAGACGATAGAAAATTTAGATGCGTGTACAATGCTGTCCTAGAAGCATTTTTACACTGACCACTATTGTAAATGCAACCCATCACCTAGAGGTTACAATTCTCCATATTATTCCTCCAAAGAAGAAGAGGAAGACAGGGACGAGGTATTTCACAATGCATGTGCCCCAAGCGACGCATAGCACACACGTCTTCAAGAGTGAATTACAAGCGTGACCCATTTATTATTTCGCAGCAACCATGAACTCTTATGTAGAGCACAATCGTAATTTGGCATGTTTGGCGTTGGACGTATTGCTAAGCATAGTACATGAAGAAGCAGACTCTGACAATAAGAGAAGAATTACAAGAGATGAAAAAGATTACATTGGTATGATGGATGAAATCAAAGATCAGACGACTTTGGATAAGAGATACGTGGAACTCATGTTAAAATTTTTAGCCTTCGTGCAAGAATGTGAACGCCAAGAAGAAGAGGATCAACTAAAAGACGAAAGAAGAGAATAAAGTTCTACCCAAGGCACCTACAAAAACGCCCAAGGCACCTACAAAAACGCCCAAGACATCCGAGACACTACCCCCACCACCGTTGTAACCTTTTCTGGAACATTTGATACGCATGACTTTGGCAGATAAATAAGTCACGTTTTTATGAATGGAACGTGAGGTGAATTGTAATGAGTAGCACGTATGCGCTGTACTTAATGGATTAAAGAATTAAAAGCATTAAAAGAATGTCAGGTGT